GGGCTTGTTAGCTGTGGAACTCGCCAGCGCGACCTTCAGCCACAGTTGCAGTCAACTGAGTTAAAACTATTTTTTTCGTTTCTGCTTCTATACTAGTAATATAGCGCAACTTGAAAGTGGTTTTGTGCAACTAAACCGATGCCTTGCTCAACTACGACTCTGAGCTTTGGTAACTCAGTAGTTTTGACCATTCGCAAATTCAGTGGCGAACAGTTCAGCTTCAGCCTTTTCCGTGGTTAGGATCAGTGGGTTTACACTGAGTTCCAACCGTCAAGGTTTGTACAAACCGGTCTCATCGGTTATTACGGCTACCTCTGACTTCCGTTGCATACTAATGGAGTTGAAAATAATAGGTAGATTTCATTGAAACGGAATTCAAAAGACATGACCTCTGCAGCACTCAGTTGGGATATTATATGGGTCACTCGATAACAACAATATCTAAATCTTACTCATTGTCAAGACCAGGAAGTGGTCCAGCCATTGCTCGAGCGCTTACAGCATGGAATAATTACGGAGCTGCGTTCACTCTTTTTACAAGCAGAGCGAGTGAGATGGGTTTAGGAAGTCGGTACAATCTGAAGCATAGATTCTGAAGTCGCACAATCACGTAAAAAGTTATGCATACTTCGACATGCGCACATTACCTAGATTTGTAGAAAGTTTTCTCTAACTAACTTGGCTGCTAAAGGGCAATGCGGATAATAAGTTTCCCGAATTTCTCACAAGCTCTATTTCCTTTACTTCCAGTCATTCGACTTCCATGTTTTCGAACCTTCCTCGTCGCACTACTAGTCAGAATACATTGAAATGGCTCTTTCGTATCTATAAGTGTAGATATAAAAAGAGTCATGCATAGGGAGGATATATGATTGAACGAGACCTATAGAACATAAAAAGAATGCACTATTGTAATGGACGAAATTAAGGTTAGCTTAGGTGTATGATTCACTCATTCTTAGTAGCCCACAAGTGAGGATCTAAGTCAGAAGGCAAGTGGAACCATAACTGAAAGTCACATATGCGCGTAGCCATCGTAGCTCATACATGATATGAAGTGAAATTCACTAAACCGAAAACACCTCCAGCAGTGTTCCTTGACGAAGCGAGTGCCACTTGTGATTGGAGTGCGCTCCACGGCTAACGAGCTTCTCAACGTTTGCCGTTAACAGGATCCTTCTGACGGCCTCACCACTTTATCTCAGACCCACCTTCACTACCTGAAACAAGATGCAAAGTTTATGAAATCCCGCCTACGCGTACTTCGTATAAGCAATTACCAGGAGTAAAGCGCGCAGAGCAATGCAGGCATTTGAACGCGTTGAGAAACTTGTTGAACTTCTATTCTGAAGCCCTACAATCAGCTCATTAAGGACACTGGGAAAGGACTTGAAAGAACCCTTACTCTGACTAATTGCGTCACTATGGTTGTTGGTAGCATCATTGGAGCTGGCATATTTGTCAGCCCTACAGGGATGCAGGAAGGTTAGCGAGAAATTTTTACATTTTGAGTTAAAAACCCAAGGTTTTGCTAATCCTCTAATTACCATTCAGCTGCTGGCTCTGTTGGATCCTCACTTATCATGTGGGTTGTTTGCGGTATATGGGTTGGTATCGGTGCGTATATGTACGCTGAGTTGGGAACTCTGATCACCAAATCCGGGGGCGATTATGCTTACATCTTAGAAGCATTTGGACCATTTTTGGCTTTCATCCGTTTATGGATTGAGAGCATAGTTGTAAGGTAAGCTGTAGAAACAATAAAATAATGGATTTGAAATAATGGATTTGAATGTTTGCTTTGGAAACTAAAAGTGAAATGAAATTTCAAGCAAAACACTTCGAAGGCTAATTTTACGAGCAAGCATGAACGTGAAGTTTGACAACTCCCACTCTTCCAACAAC